GAACTAGAGGAAAGTTGTATGTTTCATTGTTGCTGCACTGCACCCTGACTGGCTCGTCTCCTCCTTGTGACCCTTCCGTAAGGGGATGTCCCATTACTGAATATTTTCATCAAAGATTTTCCAGAATATTTTCATCAAAGATTCTCCAGAAGAATTTTATTTTTATAGAACATAAATTGAGAATTTCAGGGGATCCAGCACTCAAACTTTTGACCTAAGGTCATCTTTAAACCTTAGATCAGACACCTCCCTTGATGTCTTCTTAAAACCGACCATAGTTTAGCTTAACAAGTAAAGAATGTCTGCTTGAGCGCGGAGCTCTTTCAAGATGTATTTATATGGGGACAAATGGATAACAGCAACTGGAAAGATGAGATAGGAACCGTAGGGCTAATGAGGTGTATGTTAACGGGGAGAATCAACTCAAGAAATGAAGTATGCAAATGGCTGCACAGCTCAGTCATTGTTACTGAGTTGTACCTGGAGAAGTCATTGAATCGATGGTTTTCCTTTCTCAAGGTTTTTTATTGTTGGGGGTTTACATTTCAGCTGGACTTTTTATACAACCTTGTAGACTAAAAATCAACCTCCCCAGTAGTTTACCTTTCACTCCCTTCTGACTGTCACTTTACCCTCTTGAGGGTCACTATCTTCTTTTATCCCCAAGTCACATCTGTCTTCTTCCGTCTAGCCCATTGCTGCCCCCCTGACCTCGATAGTCTCCAAAGTCTCTTCTCTTTGGCATGAAAGTCTTTATCTTAGTTTTGTATAGCTTTTCTCTGATAACAGTGGTCTCTTATAATATTTGTTCTTTCGTGATTGCACCCAGCGTGATGGATTCCCAGTCTATCCACGTCCTGAGGGGCTTCCTGGTTTCAACATTGTCTTTGAGCGAAGCAGAGTGTTCTACTGGTGTGTGTAGAATTGGTGCATGCTGCACTGCCCATGTCCCCACAACCCAAACAATAAACTAGTCCGCAAAGGAAAGCAAAGCCTAAGGGGGATGGTTCAGGGATTCGGTGGCAACTAGTGTTGTCCTGGGGCAAAAGCCAATCTGGTGTGCTCAGGGTGCAGTGGACTAGAACGGTTACTTTGCCTTTTATTGCTCTTTGACTGAGAAAGACTATGTGCACGTATCACTCTAAAAAACGAAACGTTTTCTAAAATGGAACATTCAAACAGACTTGTATTGAAATACAAACTTTACCACCCACTTTGTATTCAACTGTGACAAATGACTTTGAACTGAACTAGCTTTTGTCTTCTCACCTATGAAGTGTACACTCCCATGATTTAAGCTGAATAAAAGTGTTGGGATCACTAGAAGGTTCTCAGTCCATGTTAACAGTTTATATAATGCATGAGGAAGAAAACGCCCTCTTGATGTTCGAATATGGTGCAGGTGAGTTTTTGAAGAGTAAAAGGTAGATTGTGATAGGCAGATATTGTCAAGTCCTCATCTCTGAACCCCAAACAAAGTGGGTGGGGGAAGCACCACCCAAAGACAGAGGGCATTGTGGGAATGAATACCGTTGGGTATCATGATGCTATTAAACTTTTTTTCTTTATTGGTATTTTCATAGATTTTAAAAAGGGAAACAAACCTTACCAAGTGATCAGCTGGCTTCCACCTGAAAATTACCAAGAAGAATTTATGAATTATTTCAATTTCTTTGTCGAAGAAGCTTTCAATGGCAGGTAATGTTTACCTTATTCCTTGAACCAGAGAGTCATTATTTTAGTAATAAAAGCAAATGGATGGATACATGGATGTTTGAGTGAGGTAAAGCAAAGGATTGCATGGATGGATGGATGGATGGATGGATGGATGGATGGATGGATGGATGGATGGACAGTTGAGTATAGAAGTATCGCCTTCCCAACCCCTGCGGCCAGTGCAGATGACCAGAAAGTCAGTGGAGGTTCTGCAGCCTCCCTGTTCTTGTCTCTTCCATGATTAGCATGAATGCATTTCTGCAGAAACTGAGGCTTTGATTCCCCTGCGCTTTCTTTGTTAGCACTTTTCTTATAATTTTTGTCTCTAATTTTCCAGCACAGAAATGGAAACAGGCATTTTCAATTTTGGTTGGTGGGGTCATCAGAGAATCTTCCACCCCTCCCCCCATTTATTTTTTCCTCTCTTTTTCTCACATTAAGGAACCTTGGGGGCCTAGTGAATGAAGTATTGGGCTGCCAGCCACAAGGCAGGCAGTTCAAGTTCACCAGCTGTTCTGTGGGAGAAAGACGAGGCCATCGCTCCTGGGAAGATTTGTAGTGATGCCAACCCTAGGAAGGAGTTTGAGTCTGCCTTGGGTCAGAATTAACTCGATGGCAGGGGGGTTTGGTTTTTCCTCACGTTAACTCATTAGTGATGGAAGCACTGGTTTTGAAAAGGTTGGACTTTTGACCACTTCATGTTCTTGCAAACAACAAAACAATTAGCCTGGTGCACCAAGGAGAAGCCCAGCCAACGCTCTTTTACCTGGACTGCAAAGGAAACTCCATTCCCTTAGACAATGAAAGGATACAAATCCCCATCTCTCTTGGCTATCAGAGTGTCTGTACACCTTTTGTTTTTTTCCCCTGAGGATATTCTACATACTAATGGAATTCCTGGTCCAATGTGGTTTTTTCCATAAAGTCTTCTTCCTCATTCAAGCTGGAAGATTACATTCCTTCTTGTCTAAGTTTGATCTAAATCACTCATGTAACACCTACCGGTAGCTTGTATCAGCTTGTGTTGTTAGTTACAGTCGAAACGTCTCCCAGTTTGATATTTTGGGGGACAGAGTACAAGTAACAGTGCCTTCTTAAATTTGATTTTTATCTATTTAAAAATAATTATAACTGGCGGATTATAATCTGAGAATGTATACCACCTTACTGAAATCATCCAAAATATTTGGCAACCACTGGGTGTCATGAAAAGTTTGCCACAAAACTGGGGCCAATTTCAGCCCACTTTGGGACTCGGAAGTTGATTCTAAAGACCGGCGTAATGCCAACAAGTTCTTAGCCTCAGAGTCTTCTCTAACTCAGGTACCCTAGTGGGGTGGTGCACTGGTGATCGGGTGTCTGGAGTGGTTCTCTTACTTCTCTGTGCAGACAGATGCCCCTGGGACTTCCTTAGTTTCTGTACCTGTTTCCCATGTCTAGGGCATCCTCATCGATTTGCACCTTTGCTCTAGGAAGAGGATTATTTTCTACGTTGGCAATGATGCCATAAAAAACGTGGGGGTCGCATCTGGCCTCCCGTTTTAGGGAGCATCAGCATCAGCCCAGGACCATTTCCTATGAGATGGAAGTCAGACAATATGTACAGTCACCACCCTTCTCACCCATTCCGAAACCTAACCTCCCCTCTCACAGCACTCTCTCCACTGCAGTGAGTAGTTCACTGCAATGGCCATGCAGAACTCACAGGCAATACTCATCGTTATGGGCTTCATTAGGGAAGTAACAGGTCACCATTCAGAATCAGAGATGCTCAGGATAGATTTCTCTGATCAGGATGGCCTCTTCTCAGCAGTGCCCACAGGCATAACTAGACCCTCCAATCCTTTGGGCTTTGCCCTACTTAAAAAAAGTGTTACAATGCTCTTTGGGCTCTGCTGATAAATGCTCAGAGGTACTCCATTCCGCCAGCAAGCCTCCTCCTCCAAGACACTCAGCTTTCATGCTCTGTGGGCTGAGAACCACACTGCCCTCTCGGCTGCGGCCTCTGCTGCCTTTGCTTCCGCGGCTGCTGCCATTTCTCTGCCAGTGTTTCTCGCCATCTCTGCTGTCACAGCTATCGTCTTCCTGGATTGAGAAGGTTCAGTGCAGGAAGCTTGGGTCCAAAGGACAGGCTCCACCTCTGGTTTTTTCTTTTTTTATTAGATTTAATACATAGGAGATGTCATTCCATATTTTAATCATTTCAAGTAGAATTGTACAATTGCTACCACAATCAGTTTCCAACCATTCTTTTTCTACATGGACTACTTGACATCGTCGCCCTTTGACCCTTGCCACCACCACTGTGCCCCCATCTCCTGAACCCCTTATCCTGCTTGCTGTCCCTATAAGTTCATCAATCCTGGGTGTGATATACCGAAAATGAGGTCTTTCTTTTCACCTCGGAGAGGGCCCACGTTCAGCCTAAGGGGATGGTAAAAAGGACCAATTCTCCTGTTAGAATTCCATACAACTTATTCGCAGGTTTCCACCCCCATAAGGATGCTCTATACATTGTTTTCTATATTAGCAAGCTATCCAGTCCCCTTGGTCAGCCACATGGACCTCACACTTGCATAGCCCTATCTAGTCATTGAGTGGATCTTACAAACTATAGCTAGAAGGGCCGTGAGAAGTAATTCACAGAACCACAAGTGGTCTTCGTGTCGTTCATTTTTGCCCTCTTATTTTTCATGTATATTATGCAAAACTGCTTATAGTTTTTTCAAATTAGTCTTCAGTTAACTTTCTAATGCTGTTAAATAATGGGAAGTTCCAGAGTGGTGCAAATGATGCAGCCCTTGGCGATCAGCCAAAAGGTTGGTGGTGTGACTCCACCAAGAGAGCCGATGTAGAAAGGTCTCTTGGCAATGGACTTCTAAAAACCCACGGCTATTGAAAATCCCAGGCAACAGCGCTTCTCTGAAGCACACGTGGGCGCCATTAGTCAGACTGATGTTTAAGGTCGGGAAATCATTGCGAACAGAATGATCCCCAAAATTTCCTCAGAGAGAAAAGTCCTCCTGAGGAGCCAGGGAAGCTACCACATCCTCTCATCTAGATATCCTAGCCAGTGGTGAGTCATGTTGAACAAGAGAGGAATGTGCTTCAAAGCCAGGATTTTCATTGGCTTATTTATTTTCAAATGACTTAACCTCTGGGCATAGGAAGGTGGAAGTCTTGATCTTAGCTGAGAGTTTGGATTCAAATAGAATCAGCAAAGAGCCTCCTGGGTGGGGGGATCAGTTCAATGCAGAGTACATAAGTGATTTTTAAATAAGGACAATCGCAGGTATGCTTGAGACTCAAGTGGCACACCAAGTTTGGCTGAGGAAACCAGGCAGGTCATTGGTCAGAGTGTAAGCATGTAATGGAAACTAAACCGAGCATCACAGAGTGGGCCCAGGAGAGAGAGATCTGTGAGGACTAATATGTTGAGAGACAACTAGAGCAGAAGGCCATCGAGAAACGGGTCGCATCTGGATGAGACGTGAGAAGGAGGGAGGACGGGACCATTCTAAGGAGCAGAGACACATAGACCGGGGTGACTGGAAGAGAGGATATTTGTGGGACGTTGGTCGAATAAGTGGGCTGATGCCAGCATATGTTCCTGCTTCTCTGGAATTCTTTCTGTCCCCAGGTTCATGTATGTATTGTGACATTCATACCTCTCACAAATATTTATCCTTTGTTTTATTTTGTACAGATCAACATTTGAAGATTATTTAAAGTTGATAGAGAGTCTCGCGACTCAGTGCACTCATCTGCTAAGAAGGAAGGATATCACGGATTCCTTAAAGAACGAGAACTTTGACCTGGTGGTCGTGGAGATTTTTGACTACTGTCCTTTGCTGGTCGTTGAGAAGCTTGGTAAACCCTTTGTAGCTATTCTTCCATCCTCCTTTAACACTGTGGACATCGGCTTACCCAGCCCTGTGTCTTATGTCCCCATATACTACTCTCTGCTGACTGACCGCATGGACTTCTGGGGACGAGTGAAGAATCTCGTGAAGTTCTTTGATTTTTCTAAGAAGCAATGGCAAGTCCATTCTCAGTATGACAACATCATAAGGGAGCATTTCCCAGAAGACTCGAGACCAGTATTGTTTGATCTTGTACGGAAAGCAGAGTTATGGTTTATTAACTCTGACTTTGCCTTTGATTTTGCCAGGCCCCTGCTTCCTAATACGGTGTATGTTGGAGGTCTAATGGCCAAAGCCGTTAGACCCGTGCCACAAGTAAGTAAAACCGTAGTACCCTACTGGATTTTATGCCAAGGGCCTGGCGATAGAAGGTTGGTGGCTGCCTCTGGCCAGTGGGAATCTAGGTGTGAAGGAGGCAGGCAAGTGAGGTACCTAGGGAAACACCCACTCTCACGGGTATACTGATCAGCGTTGTTTGTGTCACCCCAAGACTGGAGGGTGTGTCAGTCTGGGTTGACCAGAGAAACAAATCCAGGACACTCATATATGGTTCTTTTGGGGGGGTACCTTTAGAAAATCATTTTGGGGGGCGCTTACAGCTCTTATCACATCCATCCATCCATCCATCCATCCATTGTGTCAAGCACATTTGTATGTATGTTGCCATCATCATTTTCAAATCATTTTCTTTCTACTTGAGCCATTGGTAGCAGCTTCTTATGTTTCCCCCTCCCTCCC